ACCCCCGCGCGCCCAAGGGGCTCTTTTAGTGGCCATTTTCCGTGTTTCGGGCCAATAGCCGACCCGGGCTGCAGCGCGTCGAGGAGGTGGACTTGGCCCGACCTGAACGCGTGCAATACCGGAGACCAAGACTCGTAAATCAGGACCGCGTTCTGAACCCTCCGCTGGCAAGTGGAGCCGACAGCCGAGTGGCGAGCGCTCAAGGGTTCGCGGTCCGGAAACCGTCTGCCCAGGGATCGAATCCCGGCCGTAGAGCTTTTTTTCTCTTTCTGTTGATCATGCCATCGGGATTCAGCGAGAGCCGAGTTGCACATGTCGCCGGGAGCGGATCAACAGAGCGGGAAAAAAGTACCGAGGCTGGGACTCGATCCCTGAGCAGATGGTCTCCGGACCACGCCCCAGCGCGCTCGCCACTCAGCTGTCGCCTGCTGCAGTGAACGGAAACGTCAGAACTCGGTCCTGCTTTACAAGTCTTGGTAATCATAAGAACTGTGTGTTGTGTGTTTGTATCTACAACCCAGTGAGAAATATGTGTCAAAACATAGTCAACACAAAATTATATCAGTGCCTTTTTGATATCTCAATAATATTGATCAAGGCCTCATTTTGCAGTATAGGATTGTTTGTGCACCCATGCATTTGACATTACTGATTTCCTTAAATGTCCTGAAGCATTCCAAATAAAATCCAAGTACATATATGACTAATTTAGAAAATGTTAAATTTCTAAAAACTATTCAATGTTTCATTTGATGCTATAATACATCACTAGTATTCACTTAGCCCTGGCGAACCTCCCATTCAAGGTTCCCTTGAAATAAATGTTGGAAGCTCTTAATTTCTGTTTGAAAGTTCCTAACGAATTGCCTTAGCATACAGATTAGTAAGTGCCCGGAGCCAAAGACCAAAATTCTCTTACTGATATATGAGCTTCCTGTACTTGTAACTACAGGATTTTTTGACTATTTTTCATTGTTTATAGGAATTATTACTTTCTATCTCATGTATGTGATATTAATTAAGTAAGAGGACAAAGGATAAAAGCAAGTTTCATTATGTTATGTTTCTCTTTCTTGAAACTTTCAAGGGGAGAGTGGAGAAAACACTTATTTTAACACTAAACTGTAAAACCTTGTTGAATATGATGTACCGGTAATCAGTCTTTCTGAATCAATATAAACATGAACAAGCTGTCCTTGCATTATTATTTTCGTCGAATACTGACCGAGGCTCATTTTTTCCTATTTAGTAGTTTGCGGCGCGAGGACCAACGGTTAGGACAAAAGACCAGCCGACATGGGGAGGTGGACTTGA